TTAAAGTGGGAGGGCATTTTAAAAATTCTAGCAGTGAAAATAAAAAGAGAACAAAAAAAAGTGCTAAAACCTTTTTTTCTGTTGCTGTCCCTTTGGAATTTATGATAAAAGCCTATAAAGCAAAAAGCAAAATTCAACAATTTGAATTGCTCCTCAATGTGAAAAAAATCAATACCTCGAAGAAACATTGATTCTATAAACAGATCCAAATGCGTGTGTAATAATATTATCAGTTATTAGAGTGATAGAGTGCATAGAAATGTGTTCAAAAGTAAAACATACAATTACAACTTTCTATATAAGAGAAAAAGATATATGAATATTTGTAAGGTATTCTCATGATTGAGTACGACATTATTTCAGAAAGAAGCAAAAATAGCTTACATGTGAGTTTCTAGAAGATTTAGAATACTTACTAGCTACTGGTTATTGTAATTGAACTAGATTTAGTTCATTTTAAGTGTAAGTCTAACTTTAGAAAAGTAGGGTAATTATAAAATCTGGGTCACATGGACCATTGGTGTAAATCTGAGAGCTGTAAGTCTACCTTTCCAAAATTGCTTTTCTGTTTTCAAAGAATGCAAAATGGAAAGAAAAAAATATGTACATTGTGTTTCTCCTCAGGATAGTACTTATAGGAAAATGCTTCTACCTCTGGAGAGTTTTAAATCAGGCATTCTTCATTCTGAAAGTAAGTTAATACCCCACAAAATGAATTTGAAGATGAAGTTTCCTAGTGCATGGGTCAGCTTGCCATTTAGGAACTGGATAGGCACAGAAGTTTATACCTTTTCCTAGAGAAACAGGCCAAAAATAGTAATTAGTTTATAAGATGTACATACCACATTTTGCTATAGTTTAACTGTATATCTGTATATTATTATTTACAAAAGTCTATAATCTTAGAACTAGGTTTAAATGAAGTGAAGGAAGGATTTGATTGAATGTCTGCTCTATGCAGACAATGATCTTAGTGCCCAGCCCAGGTGAGCAAGATTATTACCTATATACAAAGCATGGATTCTGGTGGAGAATCATTTTTTTTCTGGGGGGATAATAGGTATGTGGCTCACCCTAAGTATTATGATCAAGGGAATTGTCACTTGTTGCCGTATTGGTCTTGCAGAAATGCGATGTCGTGGAGAATAAGCACACTTACTGAAATTGTGTATTAAATAAAGGTGACCATCTGCTCACTCCGGCAAAATGGCAAGCTTTTTTATTTGTGGTTGGTTTATATAGGGAATTTTGTACATGCGCACAATACAGGAATGACCTCATTGATCCATTTAAACATCATGTGACTACCTTGTGATTAGCTTCTGATAATCTACTCAACATACGCCTTTGACATAACCCTTTCAACATAACCCAATTTAACATAACTTAATAGAGAACATGTTGTTAGCCGTTACTTTATTCTTATCTGATGATGCCTGAGGCTATGGAGGAACAAAGTAGATTAAATATCTGCCCTTGCTGGCCTTGCCCTTTGGATGCTATAACTTCGAATCTTTAAGCAAGGCATAAAGAAACTTCTTGGGCATAAAGGAATTTGTGTGCAAACCTCTGCTTCCATGTAGGTCTTAAGTCAGGGGGGTTTTGCTGGAAACTTTTATAAGGAATTTTCAGGCTGGACTTCTCAAAAGCCTTGATTGGCCTTATAAAGTCAACCTTAATTCCTTAACACAGTAAATGCTATTCCCGCTGAAGCCTTGCTCATGTTAGGCTCACAACCAACCTCATGGGATTCTACCTCAGTTTCTTACAAGCATGCCTGCACAAAGTCTTTATACTGGTCTCTCTCAAACAGCTTTTTTGGCCAGAGGCATATAGGCGTTTCCCCTATAGTCACTACTTTTCTTCACCATCTCCCTGAAACTCCGAATGTCTAACACACTTGATTAACTTACAAAATTATAAGTGTCGCACTGAAATCCCCACCCACGATCACACTACCCCACATCCTTCAGCTTTGTGGTGGCTAATGTCAGATTCATTAGACCGGCTTATACCCACTCTCTCAGAAACACCCAGTTAAATGGCGGTTTAACTACAGGGAAGATTTGTTAGCATAGAACAACAGAAATATCTGCCTCATTTGAGTTGGCAAATACTCATTAAAATATTAAATATATAATTATTAAAATATAAAATTATATATATATTTATGTATATAAATATACAATTATTAAAATATAAATCACTCAGAAAAGTGAAAAGTAATAGGTTTGAGGAACATGAAAGTCGTGACAAAACTCATGCATGAAAAGCATTTTCTCTTCTTTTAAAGATCTCCAAAGAGAGGCCATCCTAAATCCACTTCCCTAAGACTTAATAGTTCTCTTTCCAAGAAAGTCTTCTTAAGAATTAGTGTAATGCCTTTTTGTTATTGTTCCAGTTCATTTTCTCTTCTTTTGTTGTCAATAGATACTTGCTAAACCATTGTACATATTTGTTCAAAGAATAAGGGATAGCAGGTTCTTTATGATAATCCTTCTTCAAGATAGCAGTAAAGTGAAGTACCAAACCCAGCGTTGGAGAGATGTGACTTATTTAGTTCACACAAATTAAATATAAATACCATTTATAGGTCTAGGCTTAATTTCTAAATGTTCTATCATGAATAAATTTAGAACTAAAATCTTTATGTCTATTAGATAATAAAGAGATGATGTTTATTATCATGTAGTTTGATGTAGTTAATACTTATTCAAGTCTTAAAATGTGCTTGGCATGGGAATGGATGCCTTTATGTAGATTTTCTCAGTGACATGCATCTTAAAACATTATAACCATCCTGTGAAGGGTGAAAAAACAGGCTTTGAAATATTATATAGTTCCAGTAATGCTAGAACCAGAATTTGAACTCAGGTAGTCCAATACCAGAACACTCACAAAGAACAGTAAAATATCCATGCACGGAAGAGGGCATTGGTTATGATTATGTTTGTATAAAGTCAAAGCAATACAAAACAAATTGCTGATAATAGAACCCTGAGTAATGGTTATCCTTGGAGAGGAGGGGTTATTGGTAGGAAGGGGATGAGGGTGGGTTGTAGGGTGCTAGAAAATTTCCACATTTTAATCTGAGGACAGTTGTACCATGTAGAACTTCACCCAACTGTCTGCCTTGTCTTCTATGTATGTTACACTTTGATTAAAAAAAAAAAAAAACTGTTTAAAACAAGAGAATGGATGAATTTATATTTATGTAAAACATTCTAATTAGGCTATATTTTTGTCAAGAATATCATATAAAGTATAGTGGTAACTTTCCCAGTCATATCTGGACAGGTAACAGATATGTCAGTACTGTGTTAATGTCTCCTGTTAATATTGATCACTTGGTTAAGATTTTCTTTCTAGTTTTTTTTTTTCACTATAAAGCTATAATTTTCTTCTTTGTAATTAATAAATATCTTCTGGGGTAATACCTTGAAAAAAAAATTAAAGCATCAGTAAAAAATCATATCAGAAAACTCACCAGCCACACTATCTGTTGTTTCAATTGGCCATGGCTAGTTATTTGTAAGAAATAACTGCTGTAAGCCTTTGGTTGACTTCATAGCACTAATCATATATAGAGTGTCTTATTTTTCTTGTTATTTGAACATATTTTATACATAGATAAATGCATTTAGGCCCTGGGAATGTTGCTTGATATGAAATGTTGACTCCTTTCTTAAAAGAGATCAGATAGTTATCTGGACGCAGATAACTAATTCACCCTTGAGTCACTATATTTTTATGTTATAGAAATGTAATTATCAACTATATACTATTTTCAGGGAAAGACATGATTCTGTCTTTGTCCTTATGTTAAAATACCTGTGCATCTATTAACATGATGCGATAGCAGAACTATGATCCTGTGATCCCTATCAGTGAATTCCTCCAGTGTGTTATTTGGAGTCCAAAAAACCTTAGGACCATCAACGATCAATTGGAGCTGCCCAGAGGAATGGGAATACAGGATGACCTCTGCTTTGCATTAGTGTAAATTAAAATTGAAATGAAACAACAGTAGTAATACACATTGAATGGATTTAAGGGAAACATCATATGCCAGTGGTTCTCAACCTTCCTAATGCCTCGAACCTTTAATACAGTCCAAAGGGGTCACAACCCACAGGTTGAGAACTGCTGTCATATGCCAATGTGATGGTTCCTTGTTACCTAACAGTATTCAAACTGTTGATTCAGGGCAGGGTAAGGGGGTACTTCTGCACCTTAATTGTCTTTTATGCTCTTTTGAGAAATTTCATTTTGTTTTATACCTCAACTTGTAATTATCTTACAAAGTTAATATGTACAATGAATGTATAAAGTACAGGATAGTATAAAATACATATTTCAGGTTACTAGGATGCAAAAGTATCTAATTTCAATTGCTTTAGCACAATGGTTCCTAATCTGTGGGTCACGACTCCTTTGGGGTTGAATGACGTTTTCCCCTTTCACAGGTGTCACCTAAAACGATCAGAAAACACGTATTTCTGATGGTCTTAGGAACCGAGACACTGCTTCTCATGTGTTGGGGTCACCACAACATGAGGAACTGTATTAAAGGGTCACAGCATTAGGAAGGTTGAGAACCACTGTGTTAGCAATACAAAAACTGAATAACCTCAATATTTGTATTTAAGTTAAAAAGTATGATAGCCAACTAATAAAACAAATAGATTTTATAAGTTCAGATCTTTGCATGCTAATTTAGACATGATAATGAAACTTATATGCAGATTTATTTGAATTATTGGGTTACATATAGGCAGCTCATGTGTGTAAGCACACAATTAATTTGACTTGAATTAAATTGAGTTACTGTTCAATGAGTTGGTACTTAAACGTTATTTGACTGTAGACAGTTGTCCTTATACAACAAAAGTAACAAGTCTTTGCTTTTTTGTGGGATACTTGCAAGTAAAATGAACTGATGACAAGTTCCAGTATTAAAATGTGGAGCCTCGTTTCTCACTGCTATTCTCTGCCCACAGGTTGTATATAAAAATAATGATGTAAGGCTGGAATTATCTCGACTTGCCAAGCAAGGAGATCCAAAGATGAAGATTCATGGAGTGGTGGCGTTTAAATGTGAGAATGTTGCGACTCTAGACCCAATCACCTTCGAAACCCCAGAGTCTTTTATCTCGTTACCTAAATGGAATGCAAAGAAAACAGGCTCCATATCATTTGATTTCCGCACAACAGAGCCAAACGGCCTCATCTTATTCAGCCACGGCAAGCCAAGACATCAGAAAGACGCCAAACACCCACAGATGGTAAAGGTGGACTTCTTCGCTATTGAGATGCTGGACGGCCATCTCTACCTCCTCCTGGACATGGGGTCAGGTACTATAAAAATAAAAGCCCTGCAGAAGAAAGTGAATGATGGAGAATGGTACCATGTGGACTTCCAGAGAGATGGACGGTCAGGTAATCTCTCAATTTTCTATGCTATTTATCTCCCAGGATATCCCACTTACCCCTGCCAGACCTAAGAAGTAAAAACAAGATACACTGTAGATTTTCTGTTTTCCTTTTTCTAGAGTAAAGCAAATTTTCTGTTCTGTTTTTTGTTTCGCATCATATAAAAATCAGAGTTGGGTATCAAATGCTGCAATGTAAGTAAAACAATGCAAATGCTGCAATGTAAGTAAAACAATGCAAAGTAAAAACAAGATACACTGTAGATTTTCTGTTTTCCTTTTTCTAGAGTAAAGCAAATTTTCTGTTCTGTTTTTTGTTTCGCATCATATAAAAATCATAGTTGGGTATCAAATGCTGCAATGGCTCCTAGAATAGCTTCTTAAGTGAACATTTATTGGGTAGTAAAATGCCAACGCTTGCAAAAAAATTTATCTTGAAACAAATGACAAAATCTGGGATTTTTTATGTTCCTAATTACCTATTATCACATATGTGGTATCTGAAGTGGCAAATATAAAATAAGAAAAAAATAGAATGATTCACATATAAAATGCTTATTTTGGTATAGCAAACTATTATCCAGGGTGAGTCTGTGGTATTGAACACACCTTAATCAATACAGTGGCAAAGCTCTGCTGCTCTTCCGAGCAACTTCCCATTCTGAGGAACGATATTTGAAATTTCACCAATAGACGTTCTTTCCTCTGATTTCCTACTGATGCACTTTATTCCTCTAAGAAGGGGAAAGTGGCAGAAGGTTTCCCTAAACAAATAACATTTACACTGAAACTTGGGAGTGGCTTAGGAGGATTAGAGGTTGACTAGTGTGAGCTTTGGTGGGAAAGAATCATCCAGGCAGGGGAAATGACATTTGGGGGAATACTGAGAGAGAGAGAGACAGAGATGACAAAGAGGGAGAGAAGAAGAGAGAGAGAGAAGGAGAGAAAGAGAGAGAGAAATACTTTTTAGCTATGTAGTTATATCTCCTTTAAGCTCTTCACCCAAGGATTCCATGCTCTGATTGGCTATCTCATGTAGAAATCAAATAATAATCCTAAATTTGGAGGCAACTGAATTTAGACATTCTTTCCTCTTCCTCACTGCCCCCCAGCAGCTCCCTCGTTTGCTTAAATACAATATCATCTATTCTGTATTTTATACTAAACAGCAGTTGAAGCTTAGCCCAGGCATTTTTTATGAGCCTGAGTTTCTTCATTTGTTTAACAACAATTGGGAAAGACCCATCCAGAGCCCAGTGAAAGAGGATGGACAATGATGGGACGGCAGAGTCTTTATTTTTCCAGAACTTTCCTGGTGACTCTGACGATCAGCCAAATTTGGGACCTACAGACCAGATGACACGGAGGGCTTGTTGTAGACCCAGAAGCCTATGATTACCATCCTGTTTTGGAAGGGCCATGTGGGAGTCCTGGGGCTGACTCTTCTGTCTCTCCCTTTCTGCACAGAGGGTTGCCGCTGGTTTACTTCTGGTTTCTCTGTTATGGACTTGTTTTCTATTTATTTCCCTATTATACTCGCTTTACAATTTTCTGCTTACAGATCAAGAAAATTATATTTGTCTTTAATTTTTTTTATCCAATAAAATAAGGAAATGGAACATAGGAAAGTAGGAAAGATTTGGAAGTGAGGGTGGGGAATAGAAAGGAGGTCAGAAGCCATTGCTCTGATCCCCAGGTGTCTCTAAGACTCTGTTTTTGATTCTTCCCTCTGGAAACTTGGTCTCCCTAAATCTTCTCATTTCCCTAAATAAGTCCAAGAGGAATTGGATTCCTCTTTGTCTTTCTGATTTAAGCTGAGAAGAGTTCATTAATGGGAACGTAGAAGTATAATATAATAATAGAATATCCCCCTCTGGTTCCCTCCAGCCTTTCTCTGCCAAAGTTAGCAGTTAATCCGCTGCCTGGGAACTTTCAAACGAAGAATGTTAAAGGAGGGTGGGCACATGGACTAATCCAATTCTTTGAAATATTAGCTCATGGATGACATTGTTTGACTTAAGATATATCTAAAATAAATTCTAAAAAGGACTCCCTTGAAAAGATATTGTGAGTCTCACATTTTATAACAGTTTAAAACAATAGAGAACAGATAAAGTGGACGTTTTTGGAAATTCAAAGAAGCAAAAAATACCAAACTTCCAGGCAATTAATTGTATTTCATTCATCATGAGGGATTTTCTAACTATGTGAAAGTAATACATGCTTAATGTGAAAATATCAATAATTCAAAAGAATATAAAATGAGAAAGAAAATAATTCATTATTTGATAGCAGTGATTTTTATTTTTGGATATTTCTTTACATTCTTTTCTATGTAAATTGTATGTTTATCTATATATGTATTTGTATGTGTTTGTGTACATACATATATACCAACCCGTGTCTACATGTATGTGTGTATACGTATGGATATGTATACAAACATATTAAACATGCAGATATACAGAGGAAAAATTTTTAGTTGTTCCAGGGGGCTTCTTATAATAAGGAGAAAGTATTGATGCAATCTAGTTAGTATTAGATGAATATCTTAATTCTTAAGCTGAATAAAATCTACTTTTTCAGTTGAAGCTCCTTAGTCCATCCAAATTACCAATAGTTTATTAACTGCCATATTTTTACCTTAATTGGAGAAGGTCAAAAGTAGATAGTGTGTATGTTAACATAATTTTGTATGGGAAGAACAGGAGCAAGTTTTAAGAAAGGATAATTATCTAAGAAAGAAAATTAACACAGCATGAAATTCATGTTGGAATCCAATAGAAAAATGAAGTTACTATGCCTGGTGGTGTTTTGATGGTAAAGTACTTTTGTGTGGTTAAAATTTTAGAGTAGTGAATTGAAACAAACAATAAAATAAAACCAAAGCTCATTCACTGAGCCAAGTTCTGCCCTTTATTTTAAAATGAAAAAAAAAATAGAGAGAGAGAGCACGTATTATGTTGGCCTAGCTCAAAGGAGTTTAATGTAATTTTAATAGCTCCAGCTGTTAATATTTTATATATAGTACTTTAATTAAGTTCTATATTTGCACTCTGCATTGGTTTGGTATAGAGCAGCCTTTTAAAAATTGAATGACTAACTATACAAGCTTCTCTTCTAAGCTATCTCTTAAAGAATATTTTTGATTTTAGCTGGTGAAATACTAAGATTTGTAGCTTAGTTAAAAGAAAGAAACATGGAATTTCAAGAAATAATTCATTTTGCCCATTTCTTATATCATTTATATTCAGAGGGTATCTGAAAATTATTTTTCATATAATACAGGGAAAGGATATTGCTATGAAAAAAGGCTAGAGTGGGTTGCTTGCTAACTTCTGGTGACAACAGTCTTAACTATTGATTTGCCCAAATTCCTCCTTAGCCAAATACTTAAAAAGCTATATTATCTCTGTTATTAAAAGAGAGGGAACCCAGGCCTAGGAATTACTCACTCTGTTGCTGACTATAGTGGTTGGCTGTACTAAAGTTAGAAGAAATAGAATGGAACCATTATGACCATGAATTTGCTGCCAGTATAACAACTATTGGTTATCTTGGCTAGAGAGGTGGTTAAAAGCATGTTTGGTGGACAAAAATGATTTAATTTTAATATTATCCAAACAGTTTGTAAGGTTTATAATCCCCGACTATGAGAGAGAATGTCATATTTATTTTTATATGCACAGTTCCTGGTACCTTCTCGGGTGTAGCAGTTGCTCAGTACATATTTGATGTAAGAAAAAATAAAGAATAAAAATATGTGACCAGCACCATATTGGGAGAATGGCAGCACTCTTTTAATAAATGCAGCTTTTTAAATTTAAGAATTTGTTTAAATGACATGACTTTCCGAAAGCAGTTTATACAATATAGGATAACAGATGCTGTCCTTTTACAAACACAATGCCATCCTCCAAGTCCAGATGTTTGAAATATGCACTGAGAAAATTAAATAATTCTTAGGGAACCGTATAAGCCTGGCACAACAATGACAAGCTTTTATGAGAACAGAGCTTCTACTCCTGCTTGTTGGTAGGATCCCGAAGCATTTGGCAAACCTGTAGATAGAAGGAAAATTAATCCAGAAGGAAAGTGTTAACTCTTGTCTGAGGACTAGGATGTGCAGCCACCATCAGCACACCCGGGACAAGGAAGACAATCACTCAGATGTTCCTCTTTCCGGCGGCCTGCCCTCTGGTCTTTTGTTCACTAAAAGGAATATACAGGCCCATTATTTGATGAGAAATGTTGCCTTTATGTGCATATATTTTTAGCAAAATTAATTGTGTTAAGTTACTTTTAAAGTATATTCCTTCTGAGACATGGGAAAGAAAGAGGTGCTCTAATTCCCACACTTCGACTAATACTGTTGGGCCGCAGCTGTTCTATACACACAATGCAGCTTTCTTCCATTGCCTGTTCAGTCTGTGAACAGTGACATGGGAGGCCAAGTGGGCTGAGCCCTGGACGGCAATTGCACATCCTGAGCTAAGCTGGCAAAGGAGGAACAATACAGTATGCAGCCATGATTGAGGGAATCAGAGTGGATGACAGGAGCGCAGCAAAAAGTAGATATCCTCTGCGGAGAGCTCCGCTGCCAAGAGAAAACCTCCCACATGCTAAGTTAATGAATATGATTAAAGAGGCCCATTACTTTGCAAACTTTGCAGCTGGACATTTCCTTACCCTCTTCCTCGTCCCTCTTCCCTGCCCAGACTTGCCCTTATGCTCTTCTGGTCCCAGCCCCAACGCAAAACAAATGTCCTGGTACTTAGCTAAAGTGTGAATCGCGCTACAATGAGGATGAGGTTAATGACTATTTTCTTGGGACATGAACATTGTTTAAATTTGTGTTAAGCTCTTTGGCTCAGTCAAGGGTAACTTCTCAAGTATTTTTATAGAAAACTGTCATTTTTTTTTTGAAAACCGTCATTACATATTGAAATCAAATAAGAAAAATTCATTACTTGTGTCAAATTCTGCATGTGTACAGCAGGGTACAAC